CCAAAGAACAAACTAAGTAAGCATGCCAACTTTTGTCGCATTTGGTTCAAAATTAAATTAATTAAAAGAGAGCCCTAAGACCCATGTCCCCCCTTAAGAGGCCACCTGTGAAAATGCTGTGCGCTTGGATCATGGAAGCGTGGCAGGCGATGCCAGACCAAGTCGTCAGAAAAGGCTTCAAGAAGACTGGTATCTCGAACAACGTAACATGTTGTGGGGTGTGGATGATTCGGACACCGAAAACGAATCCCCGCTCGATGAGGATGAATGTGTGCTCTCCGACTCGGACTCCGAATAGGGAAAAGGAGGAACACCAACGACTTTTGTGGAAATAAATTTTATGTGTGTGTGTGCAGTTGACAGCTCTCGCTTGTTCATTAAAAGTACGTAGCTATGTTTATTTTATGCTGTATTAATTGGTAAACCATAAAGTCGCCTTTTACTTGACAAATGTGCTGCAGATTTAAGGGGGGACGTGGCAAGTAAAACTAATTTTTTTATTAATGTACTGTTTGTGATGAAATTTGGTGTGTGTATGTGGATGATTGTGAGGATTCCAAATATGAAAACCGTTTTCAAATACCTCTTGTACTTTTTGAGTTACAAGCATAATTATACTAATTAATGCTCTTCACACTTAAAGAGATAATTATTGCTAAATGAAATTATTTTTTCATATTATTATGTTCCCAAAGCATCAACTTGTGCAAAGAAGCTATTAGTTGATTTTTCTAGTTCTTGTAACCATAAATAAAATTTCCAAAACATGGATGTTGTTTTGCGCACACATCGCAGTAATTATAAAATGTGTTCTAAAAATTTTAAATGATGAGTAAGAAGAGAGATAAAGCTTTATTGCACTGCTAAAGGCCTCCTGAGCCTAGTGCAAAAAACGGAACGACTCTATCAGTCTTTGTTAGAAAATGACAGATGTTCTAGCGAAGGCACATAGGCGAAAATCAAGAGTTGAGAAAACTGACTTTGAAAGTTCACTCTTGTTTGGAAGTTCACAACATGCCTGAAACACTCAGAATCCTCCTGGGCAGTAATCCTGAGATGCTGTGGCCTTGGCCTCTGTAGAGCGCAACCCAGTTTTGCGCTTCTTTGTCGTGGAACAATGCGCCTTTTGAGCCCTCTTTACCCTTTTGGCATCCTTTTCGGCTGCTCGCCGCAAAGAGCAGTCTCCTGGATTGAAGCCCAGTTGAGCAGTGATCTCTTGCAGCGCACTCTTGCAGCCACCATTGAAACGGCAGACTGCATCTGCAACTGCACTTTCCACACTTCGAAGGGAGGCGAACTGGCTCTTGGACTGGAGTGACTGGAGGCTGTTCATACTCTCCACAGCGTTCTGGGTTTTTCCCTGCGCACACCTTTCAAGGAGCTCTTTGTTCGAGAGGCGCTTGTAGATTGGCAGCAGTGCCACTCGCACGTGAGGGGGCAGTTTATGTTTGTGAGGCGGCAGCGGCTCTCCCTTGGCCAATGCCTGATTGTGCGGGCACCAGGAGTCAGTCCCACTTGGGCACAGGTTGTGGTGTGGATCCTGGTCTGTGGATGTTACATGGTAATAAGTGGCCATGATGGCCCTCTCCATGCCAGGAACATCGTTGGGGTGGCTCTTAATGGCCCAGCCATAATAATTCGTCAACTTCTTTATCAGGCCCTGCGTCAGCCGGCCTTTGCCACCCATGCTCAGTCCTCGGCCTTTGGATTTGTGCTCATCAAGAAGGTTGCGCAAGGAAGTGCCCATTCTTTTTTTCACATGGTTCACACACTCCTGTTTCTTAATCACCATGTAGCCATACACCTTGTCTTGCGTGAGGGCAAGGTACGTACGGCTGTCACCGTCGCAGAGCACATTGATGTATCGAAGCTTGTACTTGGTAAACGATCTTTCAAACATGATCCTAGCTGCTTCTACTTCCATTTGGCCTGCATTAGCATCGGTGTTCTTTTGGCACTGTGGCATGTGTTTCTCAAGCCACTCCTCATAGTTGTCGTCACCAGGCTTGGGGCCAACAGCACAGCCTTGGCAGTAGTTGGACAGGACACAGTGGTCCAAGACCAAGCCTGTGTACAGCTCGATTACACAGCCCACGCCAATATGACTTCTGTGCCCCCTCGTCATCCACGTGCCGTCGTAAATGACGTCAATGTTGCCTGGCACTCCTCCTAGGTCCTTGTAAATGTCATGCACCTTCTGTGCACTTTCTGCTTCAATGCGGGTGGCAGCTGATGTGGTGGCAGGGTGGCTGTACTTCCTTTGCAGTCTCTGGTAGGACTTGTGGTGCAGTGCTCGATGCGAAATGTCCATCGCAGAAAAAATGTCATTTATGGCAGATTGTTTTCTGCCAACTGACTGCACAGCCCTCAAAGCACGCACGTTTACCTCAAAGGGGTTCGTTTTTTGTTGCCCGGAGCACCTCGGGGACGACCACGCACTGTTCACTCTGCCACAATTGTCACAAAAAAGTTCCATCCTCGCTGCGAGTCCAAGGCAGTGCGTAGTCTCGAGGCGTATCGACCCTTCGTCGCACTTGTTGCACTTTACTGACGAAAGCAGACCGTTCAGCATCTTCTTATTTACAATGAAGAATGTGGAGTCCTTACCGCCGTCATTTTCGTCGCAGCCTTCGTTCAGAAGCTCGAGCTTCCGCTTTGAAGCGGACTTCGATGCTACGGCATCCAAAACATCCCGCCTTGTCTGCGCCCGCTGCGCGATTTCTTCACTGCTCGGAATCTGGGCCGAAACTCGCGATAGAATGTTCGACGCGCGCACGCCCTGAGTTGCAACGGCTGCCGACGCGGTGCCGCCGCAAGCGGGTTCGCGAGAGCGTCCATCACGGTCGACGGCATCCGGCGGTCTGACATACGACGATGTGGCACCTTCCACACTCTCGGCCTCACAACAATCAGCGAAGGGTCTGAGTAGAGGCTCCGTGACGCTTGAAGAGCATGCTCCGTCCGGAACTGCGACTGGGACGGCAGCCGCAGTCGTCTGCCCTTTGTTCCAAGCTTTCCGACGCTTGCCGTACTTGTGGACGCTCCGGAACTTTTTTTGCGGCAACATAGCACCGCAGTATGAGCAAGCACTCAGAAGAGACCACCGATGTAAACAAAGCTTGGTAAAAAAAGCACGCGAACTATCACAAAAACAGCAAACTGGCAAAAAACGAAGCGCACGCCGGATGATTCTCGACACGGCGGCCGCAGATGCGCTCGCGCTTCCAAGGTTGCCAAGGTGCGCGGCGCAGCTTTGACCAGTAAGAGGTCGCGCCTGCTACCACGTGACCCGCGCAGCCAATTGCCGTTCTTCGTTTTCGTTTTTTTACTTGCTCCTCGCGCTTTTATTTTCACTCGGCGAAATACGAGACCGCGACCATCAGGAAGCCGGCTTTCTCCTCTTTCCAAAGCTACCAAAATGGCGGCCCACGGTCAACAACTTGGCGCGTTTGTGCGGCGTGAACAACACCGTTTCAGGGGCTTTTTTTTCGCACTTTTCGGCGACTAGCCTCGGCAAAAACACTATTTGCGGGATTTGTAGCGCACGTTTCGCTGTAATATTTTAGAACAAGGAAGTTGAAGGTCTGAAGATTACGAAAAAAAATAAATCAGAAAATCGCATATTTTGACCAAAATCGGCACTTTACTTGCCGCGCCCCCCCTTAAAGCGCGAAAACAGAGTTGAAAAAATGTTTTAAAATTTTACCCCGTGTAATTGGCGCACCCCTAATTTCAAAGCGGACTTTTTGAAAAAAAAAAAAGGGGGGGGGGGGAGCCTATTACGTGAGTAAATACAGTATTTTATCACACCGAGTTTGGCGTTAGTAATCTGGGTACATTTCTTGGCCATTTTTCATCTTCCAAAACCCGCGTTCCCCCTAGAGTAGAATCGACCCACTGTCCTCCTTTGTGCATTTCTCCAACTCAGCCCTACTGCCACCAAGTACCGTATTTACTCGCATAATCCTCGCACTCGCGTAATTCTCGCACCCCCAACATCGCCCAAGATAAATACGAAAAAAATTTTTCCTCGAGTAATTATCGCACCCCGGAAAACTGCCGCAATAAAGTCGTCTGCTCGTTCCAGCCACTGATGATGATAGCGCGCGCCATTTGGCGCCATCTCTTAAGCATCAAGCATACTATTGCACGGAGATTCAATCCAATCCAAGCCAAGCCGAAGTGGCCAGTGCGCGTTGCGGCGTGTTTTGTATGTTGTGTCGGTTATCTTGGCACGTTATGGGGCGATACTGAAGCCACACGGCTGCTTCAAGTTGCAAGTGATAGATCATACGCTAAACAACGGCAACAGGGACGCCGGTAGGCCCTTCGGAGCCTACGAGTTTTGTGTTTGCTACTGGCGACGGCAGCTGAAAGCCATCAAGACGCGTTGGGCCTGCCGTGTGCCTAAAACTGGGATTGATGGTAAACTTTATTTCTCCAGAAGGAAACTACGGACGATTCTGTTAAATAGCCATCAGCCCAATACTGACGTCCTACGCTTACCTTTTGAGGGCTCCTGTTGAGCGCTGACCGCTACCGCTACGCCCGCAACGCCCACAAGCTTCGCGTATGGTATTCTAATTCTCTACTATTTGCTTCCAATTTTTATGTCTCAAATAAATCTTGCCTTGTGTTTAACCTCTGCTTTTATTTTTGAGGTAAGTTCTAATTAGTATTTTGTAAAGCTTGCTGTAAGTTGCTGGTGTGAGAATCCCGATTTGTAGCCACTTCGTTTTTTTTTTCGCTCTCTGCGTTTTCGTGGAAAGTTTTCCCCGCGTAATTCTCGCACCCCCTAACTTTGCATCAGGTTTTCGGCAAAAAAAGTGCGAGGAATATGCGAGTAAATACGGTAGTACTGACATCAAGCAAGCTTACAAACAGAAGCTCATTTAGAAATGGAAGGAGTGATGAAAGCAGTACACGCTGAAGGGTGGCACTGCTTTGCAGAGAAAGAAGTGCTTTGCAGGGCCTTAGATAGCAAAGAAGACGCCAAGTACCTCTCGCCAGCGTTTGGGGAAGTCACTTCCTGGGTTCTGCTGCAAGTGCAGGTCGAGGATGAGGTCGCGGATGGCCGCACGCTTCTGAGCAACCCGATCTTCCGGAAACCAGTTCTCCAGCTCTAGCCACATCCGGTCACCAACACCAGGCGGTTTCTGCACAAGTCAGAACATGCCCAGGTCACTTCAATACCATCTCTCATTCGAACACACCTACTTTACGTTCCCTATGGCTTCGTAAGAAGTGAACACACAGAAGAACTTGAACATACAGTAAACCCTCAGTAAACGAAACTTGAAGGGACCGGGAAAATATGTTTCTTTTAACAGGAGCTATGTTTACTGAAAGATGAACATGGGTGCAAAATACAAGCCCGAAACTAAGCATTGCCAAGGCAATAGTACTGTTTAAGGGGGGACACGCGTCTTAAAAAGCCGAAAATCACGAAAAAAATCGATTTTTTGAAATTGACATTTTCAGAATCCGCAACTATTTTTGCACTTATCTGAGAAGTTTTAAGCTTCTCGCATCATTATTTCTGGCACAAAATCAATTTATAACACCCTTGTGAGATGAATCTGAGCACAAATAGACGCTAAAGTCGCGCTTTTTCCACGCTGAACCATTGCCGTTACACACGAGCTATCTGGTCATCTTGGTCTCGTTTGGAAGGGTCATTCTTCATCTTCAATTTTCCGCCACCAGTGGCTCGCCTTCCTCATTGGTTTTTCAGCAAAAACGCGTTATCAAAAAGCACCACCACGCGACTCCATAGGCTGCTTGGGGCACCAGACAAAACCTAGGCACCCGATTGGCCAACAGAACAGAACAGAACAGAAGGTTTTATTGTGCTAAATGAAGAAGAATACATGTGCATGATATACAGAAAGAGGTCCCATAGTCAGAGACTGCAAGGGGACCTCTTGTACAATGTAGAATTGAGAATGATTGTGATGTACATAGCAGGGAGACAGAGCTACAGTACAATGCAATTGAAACAAATAAAGTAAGAATATACCCTTGTAATCTCACAGAAACAAAAAGTAAGAATAACGTGCTAACTTCAATGACAAATGATTACAGAACACAACTCACAATGAACAGGAATCAAATAAGAAACAGCAAAACAGGCTAGTTAGTTGACATGATATGATTTTGATATGACGCCAAGTGGTGCTTTCGGCGTCTACTTTTTTATCGTAACGTGCACGGACGTGTGCCATTGAGCTTCATCGATTTACCAAGTCCCGGATCACTCGCAGACAGCCCACGGACGCCTTGGTTCACAGGTGGCTACGTCACATGCACGTGATTGAAAAGTCCCGAGTTAGCCCGAGCGGCCTCGGGCCATCTGCGCGCTTGATGCTGACTGCATCCGCTGTGGCGTCTGCTATGCCTGCCTATGCCGTCTGCTCCCTCCTTAGCTGAAACACAGGCCACAACGCTGACTCATTTGCAACCTGAACAGCAGTTAGGTAGTGAACTATACCTATTTCTGTTGTGATGCAACTTACTGTAAGTGAACTACTCGAGCGCGTGCGCATAGTAGACCAGCGCGGTCGTTCCACCGCTGTTTCTCCTAGCGAGCATAACGCGTGTTTGCCCGACCTTCGATAATACGCACATGCTCGAGGTGGCTCAGAACACCGAAGACAAGAACTGGGTGCGCTAACAATGCGAAATCCAGAAACATGCAGGAAGCAGACAGAAAAGCAGAGAGAGTAGCGCATCGAAAATTTCCCGTGTCTCACTTAAGATGGCCGCACAGCATGCGCATCGCGCTGTCGTCTGCCAGCTGCCCGAAAGAAATTGTTCGAGTGGTCCTGGGCCGCCCGCAGGTTACCAGGCAGGCAAAAAAAAAAAAAAGAACATGGGTCCGAGTGATCCCGGACCAGTGGGCGGAGCTTCCAGTTGGCCTTAGAGAAAAACGAATGCAGCGCCGCTGTCCGGGGCTGTCCGGAGCCGTTCGGGACATGTAAATTGATGATGCTCATTTTGTCATGGTGCTGTTGACTGCCTGCCGCAGTAAAGAAGTTCCTCGCCGCACTAATTTGTGAAGTGGGTGTGGCGATCGTTCGTTCGCTGTGAACTTCAGAAAGACCCCCGCTATCACTCAGGACAGAGAGGATAGCAAACTCGCGGAGTTCAACGGCGGTCGCCGAGTTACCGGTGTAGGCCTAACTCACGTACGAGCCCGTCGGTTGTTGACGTCGCTGAAAGCGGCTGTGTTTTGGAGCTTCAACAGTTACAGGACGGCAAGTGAAAAAGCAGAAGTGAAGCTACGAGAGATTGCAATCTTTGCAACGATGGAACGGAAGCGCAGTGCTAAACGCGCCGATGCTGCGGGTTCCCCCCGTCTGACGTGAACTGCGTGACGGGTCGCCAGAGTGGAGTTCGCCACGCGTCGTCAAACAGCAGAAAATTAATCTATTTACGGTGAACGTGCTCGCCGCCCGCGCAATGAAGGCTACTGGCAACAGGTTGAGTGCTTGTAACGACGCGTCCACAATGATGAACATATTCCTCCATGGCCTCCACTCGAAAATGTGACAATCTTATGTGAAAAGGAAACTAACACCTCGCTTCTCTTAGAGCCTTGAAATTGATGAGCGAGTGCTCGAGTTCAGTCTGCGACATCAACAACTCGATCTGGATAAGCCGGAAAACTGCTTTATTATAGGACAGATTGCGGATTACGCACGCACATTCGTCGCACATAGGCGTCACCGAACTGGTAAGCGGCCTAGTCGGCCGATGAGCTCACGGTGACCGCATCAGCTCGCAATTGTGCATCTGTGGAAAACATGCAGCGGGCATTGAAAAAACGCAATTTAGGTGACGAAAAACAGAAGTACTACATGCCTGGTGCCTACTGAGAAAGCTGAATTTGCAAATCATTGTAAATAAACAGCTTTCCCATGCTACTGTCTGCCCAAAATGGGCTTGTGTTTTTGCATGATTTCTCAGGATTCAAATTTTGCTGCAGTTGCAAACTTGTCGAAAAGATATCTCTGCCTCCAGAGCAGCTAGGGCTGTCATTTTTGTTGTGACATGTAGCTGTATCTTTAGTTTACACAATGGTAGGTGTGAATTTTTAATTAAGATCTTCAAAAAATTTAATTTTTGCCAGAAATCGGAGCATAAGTGGGCGTTGTCTGCAGCACTGAAGTGCAAGGTGCGACAAACCTTGCTAAAATTATGAAATAAAAAAAAAGCACTCCTACCGTTGTGATGCTTACCGTATACACACGTTCAAGGTACGCTTCCCGTTTTTAAGCACATAATAAAAAAAAAAGTTGTGTGTAAAGGCCGCATCCGCACTTTCCTTGACCCATGCGTATTCAAAATGCGCGCGCGTGTGTGAGCTACTAGGCATTGTCAGTAGATGGCGTTAGAGAACGCACTCATCATCACCATAATACATCATTAGAATAATTTGTTGGTTTTCTTCATGCTAATATGTTCATGAAGTTGGCTAAAAATTTTGAAGTTGGCTAAAAATTTTAAGTTTTTTCAGTAGTGTTCATACACCCGGCAACTAAAGGTTAAAGCGGGATTTTATCTTTAACTTCTGACACTTCTATACAAACGCACTATCCATAACAGCATTAGCATCACCAACTTTGGTATTTGTGCGTTGTTCGATCATTGTGCTGTTCAGCCAGCCACGTGCTCGAATTTCGCGCACCGTTGAATGACTCTGGCACTCTAGCTAGTTTTCTGCGGGACGTTTACGTTTTGGCACGATGGGCAAGCAGCTGAATAGCTATACAGCTGGCTATAAGTTGAAGGTGATCGAGTTTGCTCTCGAGCACGGGAAACGAGTTGCCGGCAGAAAATTCGATGTTGACGAGAAGTGTGTTTGACGTTGGTGCGCCCAGAAGAAAGCCTTGCAGAACACCAACATCAAAAAGCGCACTTTCCGAGGAAAACAGTGCAAGTATCCTGATTTGGAAGAGGAGTTGCTCCGCTATGTGACTGAGGTGCGAAATGATGGTTTTGCGCTCACTACAGACATGCTGCGCATGAAGGCACTAGCCTTGGCACGTGCGAAAAATATACCGGCCGGAGATTTCAAGGCTAGTGCTGGCTGGGTGCGAAGGTTTCTGAAAAGGAAGGGACTCTCCTTTCGGCGAAGGACCACGCTGTTCCAGCGGCTGCCAGAAGACTATACCGAAAAGGTGCTTAGTTTTCACAAGCATGTCATCAGCCTGCGCCATCAGCACAATTATCTGTTGTCGCAAATAGGGAACGCTGATCAAACTCCTGTGTGGTTTGACTCTCCCGAGAACTACACAGTCAAAGTAAAAAGCAAGAAGAGTGTCGCCGTGCGGACCACCGGCGCTGAGCGCCAACGCTGCACCGTGATGCTTTGTGTGACCGTGGTCGGGCGGAAGCTACCCCCGTAGGTTGTTTTGAAAAAGAAAAGAATTCCCAAGGAAGTTTTCCCCAAGGGCACCATAGTTAGAGACCAAGAGAAGGGACGGATGAACGACGATTTCGTGCTAGACTGGGTGAAAAGTGTTTGGCAGAACAGACCGGGAGCTTTGTTGGCCAAACATTCACTTTTAGTATTGGATAGTTTCCGCGGCCACCTTACCGATAAGGTAAAGGAGCAGCTGCGCCGTGTCGGCACAGACATGGCTGTGGTTCCAGGCGGCCTCACAGGAATGTTGCAACCATTGGATGTGAGCATGAATCGACCATTGAAAGTTGAATTCCGAAGACTCTACACGGAGTGGATGGCAGCCGGCAGCCATGAGCAGACGCCGACCGGACGGCTGAAGAGGGCACCACTTGCTACTGTTCTCGGTTGGGTATTGTCGGCGTGGAGCTCGGTGTCGACGGACATTGTGTCCCGAAGTTTAAAGGTCACTGGGATATCCAACAGCCTGGATGGCACCGAAGATGACTGTTTGTGGAATGATGGTGCTCCGCAACACACCATCTCGGACTCCGAGTTAGAGGACTCGTCGAGTGACGTCGATTAAGCGCACACGCGGCATACTGCAATAAACGCTCTTCGTTCACTAACTGGTACGTTGTTTTTAGTTCACCAAAAAAAAAGTTCCGTGTATGGGCCGCAACCAGAAAATTAGCCCTCACTTCCTGAAAAAAAAAGTGCGGCCCTTACACGCGTTTATACAGTATGTTC